GTGTCGGAGAGACGAGGACCTGTAGCGCGGTGAGAGAATCTACCTACTTTGGCTTTGGTATAGTGAGAATTTGAGGCGACAGGGAAATTAGTAGGGCTCTCGTTGTATGATGAATTCGAAGTATGACGTCTAGGTGAAGTCGAATCCGCAAGGTGTCTATTTGATCCAAAGGACTTGACAGCACTGGTTTTAGGTGGCCGTTTGGGGCGCTTCTGTCTGGGCTTATTGATTAGCTTTGCTACCGATGCAGATGCTTGCTCTCTTGTTCCCAGTTGTGAAGCTATTGAGGACAAAAGAGGAGATATCTTCTCTTTTTCAGAGGTCCCAAATCTTAAGTAGGACGTGACATCTTCGCGGTTAACCTCATATGCATTCGGTGGGTAAATTCCAGCAACTCTGGCAGCAGCCGCCTGATGATTACAGTATACACCGTAGTCAGCGTCCTCGCAAGTGCATGTTCCAATTGAGATATTGACAATGTTCTCCGTTTGACCGGAAAGCTTGTCTTTTACCTTGAAATACGAACTATTTACGTTAGCACCATAGACTTCTTCGCCGGCCGAATTACAAGGTCGAATAATCCATTTCGATGTACTCCCCGAAGCGTAAAGCAGTGGTTTGGGTACTCGATACCAAACACTTCTATCCACTTTTCCGCCGATAATATTAAACAATTTTTGCTCGACAACAGTGGCAACAATCTCAACAACACCCACGGGGTCGGATGAGATGTTCTGTCCAGCTAGATTACTTTTCAAAGCTACGACATAACTACTAGATGAATAATTATTCATTCCACGCGTGAGCAAGTGCTTGCGAAGGTAGAGAGCCCATTCAGAGCGTCTTTCACGCAATTGTCTGAAATACACACGCACCGACTGCAAGTCAGTAAGCTCGAATGCCTCTTCGTAGAACTTTTCAAATTCCGCCTCAGACTTTGAGTCTCTCATTTGCCTAAAGAGTGAAGAGGCTTTTTTCATGTGCTCCGACTGTAGTCCAAGAATAAGTCGATTTTTTAAAGCCTCTTGTACTTTTAATGAGAACTGAAATAGACCGACTAGGTGACGAGCATTGGGCCAAAACTTCTGAAATATCGACTTTACAAGGATAGATGGGGGAAGAATAAATCCCTGCGGCTCCATTTTGCCGCCAAAAGGGTTGGGGAAACATTTTTTGAAAAGAGTCACTGCTCGAAGATAGTTGTCTTTAGACTTATTGCTGTGAATCATCACTGCGATGGGAAGTGTCCCAAAAAATGAGTTCGCAAGAAGAGATGTACAAGTTCCCACTCCACTGACGGAGGTAATTTCACAATGGATCATTTCCGCTGTTTGTGGTTGCTCCATCACACGTTGCATGATTGGTGTCACAATGAGGATAATTGGCGGAGTACCGTGATTCACCTGATAAACGTCAATAATCAGAGAGTGCCTTGGGCCATCAGATACTTTAGCAATTAATTCAGTGAAATCAGAGGCTGACAGCAACTTGCGCACAGGTGAATGGGCTGAGTGGAATTCCGCATCCATCAAGTGGCTGGAAAGCATGATAATGGCGGACCTTAAATTTGGGCG